CTTCTGGAGGAGCAGTTTCAGCAGGGCAAGCTTCTTGCACGCATTGTATCAAGACCAGGCCAGTGTGGCCGAGCAGATGGCCATGTGCTAGAGGGCAAAGAGCTGGAGTTCTATCTGAGGAAAATCAAGACCCAAAAAAGCAAATAATTCTTCCTCTTTTTTTTTGTTTTGTTGAAGATGTCATTGTTTAGCTGGCTCTGGGTTTGAACCCACCAGCCTTCACGCATGTGGCTGGTGCTGTAACCACTGTGCTACAGGCAAGAAGCCTTCTTCTCTTGTGTCTGGGTTCATGTAATAAACCTTCATTATTCAAAAAAAAAAAAGAATATTGGAAAGAGCTCTTATAAATGCTGGTAGAAATATAAATGGTACCACAGCTTTTGAAAACGGTTTAAGCAGTTTCTTAAAACATTTAAGAACACACTCACAATATAACACATACACTAATGAGCTAAAAAATTTATGTTCCCACAAGGGCATCTAGAAATGATGAATACTCAACAACTAAAATCTCTAGACAACACAAATAATGTTCAAGTTGAATAAACAACATGCAATATGTTCTCCCAGAGAAAAAAGAAAGAAAGGCAGGGAGGGAGGGAGAAAGGAAAGAATGGAAAGAAGGAGGGAGGGAGGGAGGGAAACTACTGATACATATAGCAACAGATCCATCTCAAAGTGTTATATGGAGTGAGAGAAGTAATAGAGAAAAGAGTACATGCTATTTAAAATTTTTTAATTTATAATCTCTAATCTTTACAATCTCTAATCCTATAAGCTATATATTATTATTTTTATTTTATATAGAATATTAAATGACTTAAGGTCCCAAAGCTTAAAAAAATTGCACAAGCAATGCAACATTAGTCTGACTTTAAAGAAGCATGTGGGTTTTGGGTTTTTTTTTGAGACCAAGTTTTACTATGTCACACTCAGTAGAGTGCCATGGCGTCACAATTCATAGGAACCTCAAACTCTTGGGTTTAAGTGATCTTCCTGCATCAGCTTTCCAAGTAGCTGGGATTACAGGCACTCGCCACAATGCCCGGCTATTTTTTTAGAGATGAGGTCTCACTCTGGCTCATCTCGACACTGTGCGCTCAGGCAATCCACCTGTCTCAGCCTCCCAAGTGCTGAGATTACAACCATGAGCCACTTCACCCAGTAAGTATGTGTTCTTTTATGAAAGCAGGCTGCTGCTTCTGGTAAATAAGAGGCTAAAGAATGGAAGAAGAAAAAGTGATAAGTGGTAAATGAGTGGGCAGGTACAAGAGAATTTGAGGGGAGAGACTTGGCAGATGATTAGGAATTATATGGTAATTATGTTATTAAATGTTATGATTAGAGTAGACTGGTTGAGGGTTAGCAACTATGTTTTTCCTTTCAAGCCTACTCCTCTACAAAAAGCAGAAAAGGCTAAGTCGTTCTAAAGGAGCCTCCTACTCTTAGTTAAGAGGATTGATAAAGCCATTTTAACCAACCGCAGGTAGAGAATTCACTATAAAACTTGTACTTAAAAACCTAGCTGGTGACAGCAGGCATAGATTTCAAGAAGGAACAATGGGGTCGAAGTATAACTACCAGGACAAAGTAGAAGAGGATAGAGCTCATTGAAAGATGAGATAAATAACTATAAACATATGACTATTAACTCAGCTGCTTATATTCTATCATATGGGAAATACCCTAAGAAGGTCCAGTTAGCACTATGGTTTGGCACTGTTAAAATATAAAGAAGTGATACTATCAAGCGGTAAAGGGCACTGGCTTTAGAGTTGGGCAAAGTGTCCAAGATGGGCTTCTACTAGTTGTGTGGTCCTAGGCAAGTTCTGTAACCTCTCAGAGTATGAGTTTCCTTAGCTGTTAAATGAGATGATAATATCTATCCTGATAGACTCTGACAATCTTTTCAGATAGCCCAAAGTTGTAAGAGCATCCAAATCACAGAAAGCACTTAGCAAACATTAGTTGTTACTACTCATTTATATAATTTTTTTTTTTGAGACAGAGTCTCACTATGTCCCCCTCGGTAGAGTGCGATGGTATCACAGCTCACAGTAACCTCAAACTCTTGGGCTCAAGTGATTCTCTTGCCTCAGCCTCCCAAGTAGCTGGGCCTACAGGCACCTGCCACAATGCCCAGCTATTTCCTTGTTGCAGTTGTCATTACTGTTTAGCAGGCCCAGGCTGGGTTCAAACCTGCCATCCTCAGTGGATGTGGCTGGCGCCCTAACCACTGAGCTATCGGCACTGAGCCTAACTTTTTATTTTTTATATTTTTTCTTTTCTTAAACCTTTTTCTTCTTTTTAAACCTTCAGCTCATTTATATAATTCTCATTAATATTCTTCCAGATTTATTTCTTATCCTTATCCAAAGACTTAATTAACCCTATCCTTGGAAACAGCATACATCAAACAGCCTATAATTTGGTTTAAGGTCTTAGTCTTTTTTTTTTTTTT